GAGAAATAGTAACGCACAAGTAATATAATACATTACTTTCCATAAAAAGTAATGAAGTAACGCAATTATTTACTTTTTTTAGGGAGTACGCAATATTGTAATGCATTACTTTTAAAAGTAACTTTTTCCAACACTGCTGGTCAGTATGCAGAAAGAAGTACCATGAGAAATACAGAAGTCAATGTTTCTGGTTTTGATGGCATTCCATTGTATGCATTGTGAAATTACTTCTGAAAAAAATTCTCACATGCATAAAATTTTTTATTAAATAAAGTTGGGAACTTGGGACCTGCATGGACAAGCTCCAGTTGTGGAAATTAGACGTGATGTTCTCGTCTGACAGAGACTGAAGAACATCCTTTGGAAACTTCTTGAACAACCTGCTGTTTTGAGCTCCTGTAATCAATCAAAATCAATGACCAAACATCAACTCATTGTAAACAACCGTAATGAGTTAATGCACAAAATAGGTAAACCAGATAACAAAAACTGTGCTTAGCAATTTGTCATTTGCCTTTTAAGTTTGGTGCAATAATATATGAAAATTGTTTAGAAAGTGTCGCAAATGTATAAAAATAGTAAGCCATATCATCATGTTGCACATCTAGTTTGTCATGGGTATATAAATATGTTCATATAAACTTATACATAGAAGTATGCTGATGCTCTGTTATATGTTTCCACCAAGCGGCAACCTCCCGCCGTCTCTCGTGAAGCCAACAAGGAAGTGACTTAAACTGTAATTCGTCAACTGGCCGCTAGAGGCTGGAATTTTTTTATAACTCATCCGTTTAAATTATATTAAGCCTTAAAGTTCTGCATAATTAAGGGCGTGGCCACTTGAGTGATAGGTGGATTGCCGCTGCTGTCACCACCGTTGAGCTAGGTGGGCGTGGCTTCAGCAACCTGCTCCCGCCTCTTTGCCCATTTTCGATTATACGGGAGTGACGCGCTGCCAAGATGGCGACGGCCGCCCCCGCCCACTTTTGAGCTTCAAAAACGCTCTTCGGAAATCTACGGGTGACGTCACGGACACTACGTCCATGTTTTTATACAGTCTATGGTTTCCACCCATTAATTGCCACTGTTATATGTTTACACCCATTAATTGTAATTATTGTAAAGAACAACAGTGCTGTATTACTAGTAAAAGTTTGCCATTCCAGAATGTGACTTTTGGAGAAAAACACACAATGTTACCAACCTGGGCTGAAGGTCAGCGGCAGGGCGACTGCTTTGGTGTCAGTCAAGGTCAATAAGTTCTTGTTGCTGGTCAGAACCGTGAGCTGTTGGAAGCCCTGGCAGGTGCCCCAGATCGGAAAATAATCCGAAGCATCATTAGCCTGTTGTGGTTAATAAAGAAGAACCATCAATTCATATTCAGATCAATTCAAACTAATTTTCACATGATGATGTTTTTAACTTACCTTTATTGCAAGTTCATAGAAAACCTTCGCCGCTCTGGTAAACTGAGACTTTTCGATGTCCACATTCCCACCAGGAAGCAGCAAACTAAATGGGTAAAAGCAGTCAATTAATATAGGTATGAACAAAAACAGCAGTTTTGGAACATGTTATCTGGTTTCTAGCTGGTCTATTAATTGGATTACATGTTGGACTAAATATAAACCAACTTCCATGTTCCAAACACATCTACCAGCTTAGGTAGGTGTGAAACTAGTCAAAAACACTCACCCATTTATTGCGTTGAACAGTTTTTCATACTCCTCCTCTGTATGATTTATGCTGCAAAACAAACATAATTACCTTTATGTACCCTTTCTCTCTATTTCTATTTTTTTTAATAATAGCATGTAGCTTGTGTTTAACATACTGAATTGGTACAACCCTGGCACCAGCTGACTCCAAGTGTTTCACATATGATGCAGCTATATAAGAAGAGCCCTGTGCATGAGGGTCGTCCTCTAAGTTTTCCTGGGCTAAAATTCCTGAAATGCAAAAAGATATATATTAGGCATATGCATTGCCTTACGATAATTAACCATGGTTTTACTTCCAAAAAAACAAAAGAAAAAAAAAAAACATGGTTAACCTCTTAAGACCCTGCGGCCTCATATGAGGACATTATATTTTGGTGTATTTCTCTGAGACTATACATGCCACAGTTTGAAGTCTGGATGTCCTGTACAGAGCACATTCAGGGCTTTTCAGAGATACTAAATGTTTGGATGTTTCACCGTGACCACTCCCTCTCCTTGGTCTTCAAATATGTCTGATATTAATTTAGTGACACTCTTATGGAAATATGATAATATTTTGAAATTATCATTTAAATCTGACTAATTTTTAAACTGTCTGTCATAAATCAACATCTCAGGAAAATGTTATGGGGTTTCAAATCAAAATATGACCTTCTGTTACGAAACAGGACGTTGATTTCATACATGTCCTCATATACACTGGGACTAAAAGCATGTTTATTAGCATTTTGGGAGACACAACAAATGAACAGGGAAAGAAATTATATTTCTATATTCTATGAAATATTATATATTGTTATGAAAATCTTGTCAATTATTACTCCCATTATTACACTTCTTTTTTCATTACATGTTGCCCCAAAAACACATTAATATGCAAATTAGATTTAGGTGATAGATACATTGTATATAATGAGAAAACCTGTTTATGGCCATTTTACACACATTTTGCAGAAAGAAAAATAGTATATTGAATCATTCTGTTATAACATAGTTGAGAATCATCTTTATACAAAGTTTGATAAAAAAATAAATAATCTTGAAAACTAAAAATGTATTGGTGATTTAAAAAATCAATTGTTTTTGCCTATGCATGTTCATTCATGTATTTTTATTTTTTTTTAAAGAATTGAGTCCCGATGTCCTCTACCGAGGACATAGCATAACTTATGAATGAAATGTCTTTTTTTAATATATATATTTTTTTACATTATTTTTAATGCTCTAAGCAATGTAAAGACATGGAAAAAACAAACTTTTTCCTAAAACTTTTTTTCTCGGGTCTTAAGAGGTTAAAACAGTTAAACTATGGTAACCACAAATTAACCATGGCTTTACAACACTAACCATAGTTTAACCATGGTATCTGTGGTTATACAAATGATAACCAATCCGCCAAAATCATACACGTTTGGCTATTAAAACCATGGTTAATTTTCATAAGGGCAGCATAAGGCTGTACCGGTTTGCTATTTGTCTTCCAGACTATCACAACCACAAAAGCCCACAACCTCTTTAAAACCATCAAACCAAACCAACTTGGACTGATTAGGAGAACAGCTAACCACTGGCTGGTTTAGCTTTTTTCCGCAAGGTTAGGTTCCAACCATGTTTAAAATGTTTTACCATGACAATGCTTTTATGAGTTAAAAAGGAGAACGTTCTAGCGGCGGAGCTGTGGAGAAGGATGCTGCTATTAAAAAAAAAATCCCAGTGAGCAACACGACATCTCAAGAATACGAGATGAAATAAAACATCATTTACCAGACATCATACACTAGTTACCCGCAAACAGGACATTAAAAAGATGCAACGCTTCAAAGACTCGCTTTTATTCTTACCGATGATTGGTCTGTAATTTAAATTACGAGCGCATGATGCTGGAAAACCGCATTGAAAAGCGGCAAACACCGCGAGCACGAACACCTGGCGATACATCCACCTCAGGTAGCACACCAAAGGACGAAATAAAGGAAAGCTCCTCGATGTTATCTGTAAAGAAGGCAATGTCAGCTCCACTGGCGATGTCAGGCTTTTTAACGAAAGCTGCGCCCGGATCCGCTTATCCGCAATCGTCACGTTAACCGAGCGGCGCCTTGACGCGTGAATTGTTGAGGCGTTGACTGTTCTTCAGGATCAGCTCTGATGAATTCACAATCCAATGAGAGAATAGCGAAAAGTCAGGGCTGGCCCCGCCCACTCGAATCGTCATCGTCACAATGACATGCCTGTCAAAATTCCTTTAAAGGGGTCATATGATGCAATTTCATTTTTTCCTTTCTCTTTGGAG